GGGGGACAAGGGCACTTGCTGTAAGAGCTGAGTGAGTCTGTAATTACACATGTACTGCTACTGTTGTGTGGAGCTAGCTATCTGTTTGTGCAAACATAGAATACAGCCATATGGTTTAGATTCCGGAATTGTGTATTGTGAAATCATTTGCAGCCCTACCCTGAACTTCCACAGAGAAAAATCGCACAGATGGGATAGACCCATGGGCATTAGTTTAAAAGCTCTTTCTGGAAAATAAGCTGAGATAAACTAATAAAGCAGAAATCTCCTTCCCTCATAATTGTGCAAATTGTGCCCTAGAAAGAACATAGACCCGGAGTCAAACAGATGGAATTGCAGTGTTTCCACTTGGACAAGTTATTCAACTGTTCTGACTCTAAGAGTCTCCATTTCTAAAAGAGAAATCAGACTACTGAACTTTTAAATACCTTTGTATGAAAATAATTAGATAATACGAGGCATGCAATACTGGTTGTGCATGTGTTTATCTCCCTTCCAGTCACACTACCGTATATATGAAATGTCACTTTAATTCATTATACTTTTTTACAAAAAGTTAACTAAAATCAAAATAAAATAAATGTTATATGCAATATCCTATAATGGTATATTTCTGGTTTGATAATTTGATGAGGTCACTATTTATTAGAAGATTCGAGTAATTGCCAAATGAGTTTTAGCCAAATTAAAGTTCTGTATGTAAGAACATTAAGAAAATGCTAAGCCTTTATTGAACCAATAGTGAAATCTAGATTGTGATCTAACAGTTGTGTTCTTTGTCACTTACCTGAATGAACTGAAAACTTATGTTCACACAAAACCCTGCACACAAATGTCTACAGCAGCTTTATTTATAATCGCCAAAACTTGGAACCAGCCAAAATGTCCTTCCATAGGTGAATGGATAATAAACTGTGGTACATCCAGGCAGTGAAATATTACTCAACACTAAAAAGAAAGGAGCTATTGGGCCATGGAAAGACATGGAGAAAACTTACGCGCATATTACCAAGTGAAAACAGTCAAGTCTGAAAATGTTACATACTATATGATTCCAACTATATGACTTTCTGGAAAAGGTAAAATTATGAGGATGGTAAAAAGAGCAATAGTTGCCAAAAATGTAGGGAAAGGGAAACATTAATAGGAGGACCATAGGAAATTTTTAAGACAATGAAACTATTCTGTATGATACTGTACATATGGTGGACATGTCATTTCACATTTATCCAAACTCATAGAATGTACACCAAAAGTGAACCCTATTGTAAACTATGGACTTTGGGTGACGATGTGTCAATGTAGGTTCATCAACTGTGACAAATACACCACTGTGTTGTAGGATGTTGATAGTGGGGAAGGCTGTGCGTGTGTGGGGACAGGGAGATATAGGATTTCTCTGTGCTTTCCACTCAATTTTGCTGTGAACCTAAAACTGCTCTGAGAAATAAAGTCTATTTTAAAATTTAGATAGTGGACATTAACTGAAAAAATTCAGTAAGTTTACAGGGAGAATATATTCACTTATCTGTTATTTAAATAAAATTAGCTTAAGTTTTCAAGAAAAGAATGTGCACTGTTAGCTAATTAGCGGAAAATGCACAGACACAATAGTTATCACAGTAATAGAAGAAATAGTGAAGTACATTGTGCAAAGAGGCAAGAATAACACACAGAACTTCATGCACACATAGAAGATACTAGAGTCATGTAATTAGTATCACAATGAGCTTATTTAGAAAAAACATATGAGCAGAGATACACCAAGATCACACAGTAACTGATTGCAACATCCCACATGTTCTTAGGGCACAACTGGACCAAACGTTCCAGGGAAAAGTCTGTTAGAGGGAGCTTGACCCCCTAAGTCTCTGAGTCCATAAGGACTGGGGGACAGGGGACCTTAGCAGATTGTGTATCAAAGGGAAGCTTCCTAGATGGGAAAGTTGCCTTATTAGAAAGAGGAACTTCAGCTGCTGGAATCAGTCCTCTTTGTCTGCCGAGGCCTCAGCTCCACTGAGCCAACTCTGAGTCCTCTGAAAGGAGTGGAGGAAATGAGTCTCCAGAGGCCATCTGCAGTGTCTCTCCTCACTTGATCTCAGAGAAAAAAGAAAATCGCATTAATTAGGAGCCTACAATGAACCAGTCTTGTAAATGATGTTTCCTTTACCTCAAAAGAACCCTGTGACAGATAATAAAATAGGCAAAGGAAATAAGTGAGTCCTCCAAGATTGTCCAGCCATAAAAGGCTGTAGCCTTGTGACTCAAAACTCAATTTCATTGGCTCCAAAACTTTGACCTTAACATAACCTAGCTCCTCAATCATTTAAAAGTTTTAATGTTTTCAATGTAAAGAAACAAAAATATGATTTTTTCTATGGAAGCTGATCCAGTAATAAATTTCTTAGAAAGAGAAGCCTGAGTATAACCATTTGATGACTTGAAGGCAGTAATGATCGCTGATACTTACTGAGAAATCACCATGTAAAAGGCACTGTGTGAATCCCTCTAAATACACTGGGGACCAGCAATGAATTCTAAAAGCTAAGCCGAAAGTTTTGTTGGAGAAGGGTGAGGGAGGCCCCAAGAAGCTTCCTGTTAGAAGAAAACAGAAAATATAAATACCAGCCTTGTTTCAGCCTCCAAGTGTCCAGTAGAAAGAGGGCCCCAGAACTCTGTGGGTTCCTGGGGAGATCTCCACCTTCTATTGCTCCTGGCCTCACGACCATGAGACCATGAGACCATCAAAACTGTTTCAGCCCTGACCCTTCCCTATTTCTAAAAATTTTCCATAATCTCCTGTCTTGATTATTGTGATGCTGTCTAATTGTTGTCTCTGCTACTCTTCTTTCTCCTTATGATATATTTATGACTTAGCAATTTGGTTAGACTAAACTACATTCCCTAGAATTCTCTTCCCAGTGTACTTTGGAGAGGGTACGCTGTAAGATATAGTCTCATATGGTGGGAAAATCAAGACAAACAGCAGCCATCTTATAGGATAAATATAGTTCCTCCCAGTTATTCAATAAAACACTAATCTTGGTGTTGCTGGGGAGGTATATTGCAGATAAATCAAAGTCCATAATCAACTGATTTAAATTAAGATGATCTTCGGAGTGTCTAACTTAATCATTTGGAAAGGAGAGGAAAGACTCTACCTTGTGGACAGGTTCTAGCTCATGCTTGTGGGGTTCTAGCCCTTTCATGGTCTTCCTTTCCTATCTGCCTCTGGACAACAAGATTTGGCCTGTGATCATGGGCTAGAAACCTCTTATTGCCTCTTCCTGACTGCCAGTGTAAAGATTTAGGCAGGGGACTGACATGTTCTAACTTGGGTTCTCACAGATGATTCTGGCCGTTGGGTTGAGGATTACCTAAAGGGGTATACCTCAGTCAACAGTCAATCTCATGATAAGGGATTTCTTAGAAGGAATCAGTTTATACACTATAGGTGCTGACTAAGCATGTGATCACTCTTTCTCGAGTATGCCAGGCTCACTCCTATCTCGGGGTCTTTCAACTTGCTTTTCTTCCACCTAGGATGCTCTTACTGTCTGCAGAACTTATTCCATCTTTTCCTTTACATCTTTACTCAAATGTTACCCACTCTTCACCCTGTGTTTGAAATTGAAATCCCAATTCCTGGAAAACCCTATTCCTATTCCTTCTTGATTTCAATCCACAAAATTGATCATTATGTATCATTATGTAACAAATATCTTTTTATTTATTTCCTAATTATTGAGAGGGCCATATAGGGGGAGAGAGAGAGAGAGAGATTTTAGGAAACTGGTTTATGTGATTATGGAGGCTGGCAAGTCCAAAATTTGCAGGATAAGCCAATAAGCTGGAGATACAGGAAAGACTTGATGTTGCAGTTCAAGTCCAAAGACTATCTGTGGACAGAATTTCGTCTTGCCAGCGGGAAGTTATATTTTTGTTTATTAAAGCCTTCAACTGATTAGATGAAATCCACCCACATTATGAAGGGCAATCTGTTTTACTCAAAATCCACTGATTAAATGTTAATCTTATCCAAAAATACCCTTACAGAAACATCTAGAGTGTCTCACCAAATATCTGGGCAATTTGGCCCAGACAAATGGACATAGAAAATTAACTATTACATTCCTGTTTCTAGAACAAAAGAAGCAAAGGATTTTGTCTGCTTTCTGCTGTATGGGCTTGGCACATATGAGGCTGCCAATAAACATTTATTGAATAAAAAATTCTCTTAGTTAATCTTGTTGACAAACCTATATGGTTTATTTTTCTATTATTTCCATGAAAGGAATTTGAGAATGATACAACCCCTATGATGCAGGTGACAATTGATGGTCCAAGTAGTCAATGCTAACTCACTTAAGATTTAAACTCTGTTCTAAATTGCTAATTATTTATAGCTTTCCCCCAATCTTAAAGCTAGATAATATATCTTTTAGGGTCAATTGTTTTTAAAGGATGGCTAGATTCAGTTGCATCACTCCTAGCTGGAGTAACTTAGTTAAAAGCTTCCATCTGCAGACAAGTATCCATCAGTATTATTCACAAAAGGTACTGGATATATAGCAGAGAGCTTGGATAATACTTATTCATCAAACATGTAAGAGAAGTGCAAGGAAGAAATCTAAGTAAGTCTGAAGTATTGCAGATAATGAGAAAAAATAAAAAATAAAAGACACCATTGATTTATTAAGCAACTACAATCATGTGTGCTGGCTATTTGATAAATGTAATTTCATTTTCAGAGTGACATCAGTTTATTAATAAGGAGATAGAAACTTTAAGAAATAATTTTTGAAATCACATCATTAATGCTATAGAAGTGAATGTATTTTAGAAATGCGATTACAAAGGCAGAATAAAACTATTTCAGTGTCAAGGTATTTTTCTTTCTTGTTATAAGTACTTCAACAGTTAGGCTGTATGTAGTTGAAGTACACATGTGTCTCCTGGAGAAATAGGCAAAATTCTACAAAAAAAAAAAAGCTCAGAGTCAATAATAAGAATCTGCAAAGATACGCTACTTCTTATAAAATAGTTAATGTGGTCATTACATAGATGTTTTTCTTTCTAAGATCAATGAGGGGTGACTGGCAATTAGAAGCGGAAAACAACTCAACTCTTTACAAAGAATGTGGCTGAATTTTCACTGGAGCAAATGAAAACAGTTTTCTCATTCATTCCTTGATGTCTAGTCATCAGCCAAACAGCCCAATTTGTAAATGGATCTCACAGAAAGGGAGCTTAAAGTGTCTAAAGGAAATCCATTTTAATGAATTCAAAACCACATGTATATTAGACTGTTTAATGCAACAAAATCCAGAATGTTTTTTAACTTTCTTTTTTTTATTGTAGTCAGTTTACAGTGTTATTTTTGATCATCATTCAGCTTCAGTTCTTAAATTCTGCATAAAGAAAGAAACCAAATGTTTAGCAACTTTATCCTCTTGACTCATTTCAGATTGCTCAGAAAAGAATCAAAGCATGTGACTACTTAGTGGAAGTATATTTTTCTCAAAATATAAAGCGTTTGCCTATTAATGGAGCAGAATCATTACAGATACACATGTACACACTTGTAGTAGTGACTTTTCATTTCAAGTTTAATCCATTAACATCATTTTAAAGATGAGAGTTGGATATTACAAACTTCATATTGCAAATAAAGTCATTGATAGTTAAAAAGCAAACTGAATCCAATGGATCATCACATTTTCAGGTGGAACAGAGTTATTTAAAAATCACCTGGCCTACAGGTGAGAAATCTAAATCAGATACCTCCAGAAGATGAGACAAATCCTTAAACTTTGCATATTTTGGGTACAAATTCAATGAATGTGGCTTTCCTTAGTTGGCTTTCTGATTCATTTTGGACAGGAGGTTAACAAAGAATAAAAATGGAACCCAGTCCCCACTGATAACACTTTTCTCCTTTCTTGTAAAAATCCTGGGCAGCTGATGGCTAAAGATGGAGAGATTTATACCAGGGCCCTGGCCTACTCTGTGTTTGTATAATAGGTTCTTTGCCAGCCCTGTGTAGGAGGGATCTGCTTGCATGGTGTGACTAGAGGAATGACAAGCACGCCAAGTGACCTTTCCCCAGTTAACTGCAATGCTTCTGAACTTGTCTGAATTAGACATGCAGCAAGGGCTCCCTGGAGCTGCCTTAAGAGACTGGTATCTGGATGCTAAACAACAAGGGTTAATTCATAGAAAAAAAGTGTATTCAATTAAAACACCTTACTCTCTAGCTCTAAGCAAGACTTGGGGGAACTGATAAGCAGAATTAAGTAAGTTTTGATGGAAAAGAGGTAAAGGAAATATAGTAAGGAGCTACTCAATCACGACTTAAAGTCATTGAAGTATACCTAAAGTTAAGTTATTTTTATTTCATATGTCATAACGTCCTACAGATTACCTCTAAAAAGGCCTACTAAATTTAAAAGAAGAAGAACAAGGAGGAGGAGGAGGAGAAGATAGAGAAAAAAAGAAAAAGTAGGAGACATGACAAAAATGTCACATCTGAGATTCTTTAAGACCTCATCTGTTTTATACAGAAGCCAAACTAGAATTGATACCATCTCATAAGTGGAATAAATAGATGTTGGCTTATATATTACATACAATGTAGTCATCTAGAAATTCAAATTGCAGATTTTATTATAATCTTATTTTTCAATTGTGAAATACATTAATACTGCAGAGAAATTACGAAAAATATGTTTTTAAAAATATTAGTAAAGTTAAGTGTCTATGTAACTACCACCCAGGTTAAAAAACTGAACACTGCCTGTGGCTTAAAAGCCCTGTAAATCCCTTCCAAATTGCCTCCACTTCTATTTGTAAACTGAGAGAATCCCAGTATATTAGTCGGGATTCTCCTGAAAAACCATAGGATATAGGAATGTGTGTGTGTGTGTATGCATTAAGGAATTTATATTTAGTCTTAACAATTATTTTAGGGAATTGGCTCTCTTGGTGTGGGTGTTGGCAAATCTGCAAGCTAGGCCAGTAGGCTGAATACCCAAGGAAGAAATGATGTTACAGTCTGTCAGGGGACCTCAGTCTTTTCTTTTAAATCCTCCAACTGAATAAATGAGACCCACTCACATTATGAAGGGTAATCTACTCAAAGATTACAGACTTAAATGCTAGTCACCTCTAAAAAAATACACTCGCAGCAACATCTAGACTGATACCATAGCCTTGTCAAGTTGACAAATAAACCATCACACCCAGAAAAAATCTCAAGTATGTCAATTTAGATACTTATTTCCATGTGAAAGGAGGTATATGGAATCAATTCTGTTACTCTACACTGCGTTACTTTATTTATTTATTTACCTTGATAAAAACATTCTTTTCTTAATATTTTTATTGAAGTATAGTCAGCTTACAGTGTTATCTCAGCTCCTGGTGTGCAGCACAATAATTCAGTCATATAGGAACATACATATATTAACTGGTTTATACAATGGCAGTCAGTGTATTAAACCCATAAATAATAATTGACTGTAGAATACAGACGTTTGCAAATTGGAAGACTTTGTTTTCAGTATCAAATGGGGAAAGAAAATATCAAAAATGCATGACAATATGATAGTATTTATTTTTCCAACATAACATTTACCTCTTAAGAAAGATAAATTATAGCTTTTTTTCTTTGCTATAAATCACACAAATGTGAAATCTGTCTGAATCTAAACATACTCACTTTCTTCTGAAGCTTCCAACCTGTCTCTTTATCCCGTCATAAACTTCACCAGGGTTGTCCACATTCACTCTTTCAATTTGGTTAATTTCTCATCTTATTTGTATTTGGGTTTTACCTCTATTTGGGTTCACCAGTACAACTCTTGTTCATGCCAGGCAGCTAAATCCAATGGACATGTTTTAGTTCTCACCTTATGAAACCTTTCAGAAGCACTCCATAACCTTGGCTTTGCTCCCTGCCTTGGAGAAAATCTAGTTGCTGATGTCAAAAACAGGGTTGGCCATACAGGGCCAAAAAGCTCAACTTAGAGGTGAATATTAGAGATGCAGCTGGCTCAGTTATGCCCAAATAGGTAAATAACTGAAGCTGTGATTATGGATGAAATCATCCAGGAAGTTAAGTATGGAGTGTGAAGAAAGAGGGCTTAGGATGAAGCTGTGAGTAAGTAATGTCAACACTAAACATCTAAAAAAGACAAGGAAGGAAGTAGAAAACCACTGGAGTGTGGCATGTTAAAAGGGAGAAAGTGTTTCAAAAAATGTAGTTGGTCAGCATATTTGAAGGGTGACGAAATGTCAAGGTGAAACCTTACATATTTGCTTGGGAGGACGTTTGGGGGGCTAGCAACTGAACACAACAAATTGGAGTGAGTTAAGGAATAATTAAAACTCTGCAGTTGCTTGTTCTTTTGTACTGCATGAAAGATGACTGATCTGCTATTCCTAGTTTTTCTCAGTGTGACCCCATTTTACATCTAACCTTATTTCTACTTCCTCTTGACTTTCAAAATATGTCCAATAATGAAGATGACAGTCCTCTTACTTAACTCACTCACTCAATTTGCTATTCTCTTAATTCATCCAAGATCATTTATTTAGTTCTAACTATATCTTAGTACTATCCAAATGTTTAAAACTCAATAACTCAAATGAAAGTTGAAAACTCAATAACTCAATGAACAAATAATGGTGGAGTCTCCGCTGTACACAGTAAATCCAGTTATCCAAATTGTAACAGTAGAGACTGTCCTAACAGCTTTGCTGAGGAAACAAACTGCCATAAAATCTCAGTGGCTTGCGACAATAAAGCAACATTTATTTCTTGCTCAAGCTACATGTTGGCTGAGCTCATATGCAATCCTCACCTGTGTATTTCTATTCCAGGACCCAGACAGAAAATGGAAACAAACAGGCTAGCAAAATTTACTAGTACCTCTTAAAGATTCTTCTCCAATGTAATTTACATCATGCCCATTCATGTTCTATTGGTCAAGGGACATCATGTGATCAGGTCCAATGTCAATAGAGCAAGGAATATATTGTCCTTTCATAAAGAGCCCCTTGAACTCTGTGGCAATGAGCAGTGAGGTACAATTCCCTTACAGGAAAGGAAGAATGAAGAACTGTCTGCAATAAGGCAATCTAGCATAAACATTTGCTCCTGTATTTTATCTACAAAGTCATCCTATCTAAGAAAAGCTGGCTCAGTTTTTAAGTATCAACAATCATGCTGTCATATTGCTAGTGATTCTTTAAAGTGACTTGAGAATGGGTATTACCATCAGAACTTCGGTTTATAATTTTTTAATACAATTACTTTGATCCTTTCTCAGGAATGATATGAATTATTGACATACTATCTTCTTATTTCTACTAGGAAATTCTGTATTAAAGAAGTAACACTTTTTGTACAGCATACAGAATAAATCTGTTTATTAATTCATGAAAAGATATTTGTTGAGTTTCTATAATCTGCTACAATCACAAATGAAAACACACAAAAACAGCAAGCAAACTGTCAAAAATAAACATGCCTCACCTTTGGCATCTTTCTCAGCCTTACCCGGTATACCCAGACTAACACTGGGTCCCAGGCTCCTTCCAACACAGGCTCATGTGCTGCAGTTCTGAATATATATTGTGCCTCACAACCACAACCTATCTTATTCTTTTTAATGGCATCTCATAGCCTTTAGGAAAAAATCAGACTTACTATAATTTACCACAATTTGTCACAGTTTACACTGCCTTGCAGGCTCTGGGCTTTCCTCTCTCATCTTGCTCATTTGCTAGAACTCACTGTGTCTCACAACCTACAGCCACTCTGGTCTTTTTTCTGTTCTCAGATTCTCTGCAATATGATGTCTTCTCATTTTGTACCCAAGAGGCTCCCCTCCTCCATTCATCCTTCTTGGGAAGGACTTTCCTCACCCTTTGTTGTAAATAGAACCCTTATTTTCTTTGCTCATGTAATTTTCCATGTATTTTTTCCTTTATAGCCGTATCACAACCTGTACCTATAATACATTTGCAGTATTATTATTTTTTCATGCCTCTTTTGCCTTTTAGACTTGGGTACTCAAAGTGTGATCCTGTGGACTGGGGCAGTGGGAACTCTTTGTTACCAGTTTGAGGGAAGATGAGGATAAGCATTGAGGTGAGGCTAAGCACTGACGTACGGACAAACATTCAAAATGTCTGCAACAATTTGACATTGCCAAGCCATCCAAGTTTCTAATCAGTGAGATGTCTCTGGCCAGCATATAAAACAGTTAGGGTGTTGTGAGGCAAATATGGTATAAACATGTTAGTCACATGTAATAGGACCACATTGCAACATGTGGCATTTTAAACCTAGTTTGTACACTGTAACTTAAGTGTGTGTACAATTTTGTAATGTAAAATTACAAAACGTAAACTTTGTAAGTTTTTATAATTTATTTTTAGGACTGTGCACTTGTTTATTGATAACTGCTTTTCAATTATAGTTTAACAATATTATCACAAGGAAATTCAATTTGCATTATTTTAAATGAAACATATAAGGAGAATTTACTGCACTGGACTTGCTAAGAGGAGATACATATTCTATGAATGCTACAGTAGTTATAGACCAAATGATGGTGATGGAAGTCATTATAAAGAGCTGAAAACCAAGAGTTCATACTCATTTTACTCAGAAATACAATTCCTAATATGTTGCAATCATTTTAAAATCATAATTGATGGTAATATGCTAAAACCACAGTGTTTTACTTATGGAGATATGTCAGATAATTAAGGGATAAAAGCATCAAAACTTAAGTGATATTTACATAAAACATGTAAATAAATATGTTCAAAACCAAGACTGCTTTGTTAAAAAAAACACTATTGCGTTAAAAAACTGACAGAAACAGATGTTCAACATTTCACATATAAATATTGGTGCTATGTGGGCTTCTTATAAAACAACATTTTGGGTTGCTGAGACTAAATAAAACATACATACAATTGCTGACTCTTCAGTGAAATATAGTGTTAAAGATATTTGTTTGGAGAAAATGTTTGCTTGGAAGAATCTGTGGTATGAGGTCAATCAAATACCACTTTCCAATGATACTGGGTATTCAGGACCTGAGTGATGATACAGGAGACCGACTCAGAGTAATTAAATCTAGCAGAGTGTTTTTAATTGAAACTAGACTAATGCCCAGATACTGCTTACATAATTATACTACATATTGCATTTTCAACCTAATATTCATGGGTGGAATTTTTTTAATCATCATTGACTTAAAATGACTAGGTCTGAACTGTATAAAACTATGCATGGTTAACCAATGTAGTTTGGAGATTAAGCTTTGTGTAGTAGTATGTTCTGATAGCACAATATTTATGACAGAAAACATTCTGGAATAGTTTCTCAGATATGGCGCTGAGCTTGCACCAAAATGAAGATCAACACGCTGCTTTGTTTATCAAAAAATCTTGCTCTGCACAAAATGTCAGCTTACATAAACAGAGTACTTAACCACACAGTAACATTTGTGAATTCAGTAAAGGCTAAACAATTGAATTTGAGATTATTTTCTTTATCAAGGGATAATATGGAAGCTGATTATAAAGCACATTGTTGCACAAAGAGGCACGATGGTTGTGGAGAAGAAAAATTGTGTTAAATGTTTTAATTACTTTAAAAAAACAATATTTTGGTAAAACGAGAAACTAGTTTGGTTCCAACTTTTAAAAGATATTCAACAATAGCCAAGATTGCTTGTTTATTGGATGCTTTGTGTACATTTAATGATATTAGTACTTCTAGGAATGAAGTAAGTTTTTCAATGGCAGATAAGATTGGAGGGCAAAAATAAAACTGAGAAGCTTTGTAAAAAGTAGTTTTAAAAGATTTTATGAAGTTAATAACTTAACAATTATCCATTAAGTAGATGTTGATGTTACTATTTCATACTTGCAAAAGGTTATCACCAAAATTTTAATTGAAGATGTGATGGTTTTTAGCATGTCAACTTGACTTGACTGGGCTAAGGGTTGCCCAGGTAGCTGGTAAAGTGTGATTTATGGGCGTGTCTGTGAGGATGTTTCTGAAAGAGATCAGCATTTGAATCCATAAACTGAATAAAGACGGTCACCTTGACAAGTGTGGGTGGGCATAATCTGACCCACTGAGGGCCTAAATAGAACAAAAGGTAGAGGAAGGGTGAATTGACGCTTTCCAGTTGAACTGGGGCATCCATTTACTCCTTTGGCATCAGCACTTCTGGTTCTTGGGCACTTGGACTTGGACTAAGACTTTGATATCATTTCTCCTGGTTCTCCAGCCTTAGAGTTCAGACTGCAATATCACCACCAGCTTTCCTGGGCCTCCAGCTTGCAGGTAGCAGACTGTGGGAACTCTCAGCCTCCAAAATCATATCATGTTACTTTATTATAAATCTCCTTATATATATTTATATGCTTTCTGTTTGTTCCATTTCTCTGACAAACTCTAATACAGATTTTGGTACTGGAGTGGATTGAGAAGGGCAGAATTTTAAGAATGAGTTTTCTGAATTGGTTCTGTGGTTTCTAGAATTAGCTCTCTGATCTGATTAGATTTAAACTTGCTAATGTCTTTATTTCAAGAGGTAAAAAGATCACTGATAGTATATGGTGTGAACTGTTTACAGAGATACACAAAATACCGCATTGGATACTCCTAATCAACCAGCCATTAAAAGCAGGAAGCTAAGTTACTTTGTATCTGATACTTTTTAACTTTTTTGGAAAACTAAGAAATATGATGACAATGGTTGGTTGCTCCTAATGTTGCTGGACAAAGTGGTGAAAGAAAAACATGAGCTCAGGGATTTGAATTCTCAGCTGAAGTGCTGCAAAAATGATCTAAGAGCTTCTATGTGTGCTCTGAAAGAGACCCTTATCTCCTGTAGTCATAGGACCTAAATTGTTGAAAATCAAATACATCAAATCTAATCCATTGAGATTGGGCTGTTAGAGTGGATTTTTAAGTTAAAACCTACGCATTCACACTGGGAGGGTCCAGAAGACATACCTTTTACCAGTATTTTGAGAAATAAATTTGTGAGAGGAGCCTGGAAAAGCTCCGTATCTACTCTTCCCTATAGTTCAGACCTTATAGTAGAAACTGTAATCACTGAATTGGAAAAACTAAATGCAATAAAAGTAATTAGATCCAGTGATGACAGGGGCCAAGTGGCATCACTCCATCCCAAAGGCATAGTGGGGGTGGTTACCATTAAAGGACAGCAGAGTCAAAGCAGCAATCAAAATAGTCTGACTCATGTAGGTTTATGGCATTGGCTAGTTAATCATGGTGTTCCTAGAAGTGACCCAGATAGGAAGCCTATTAAATTCTTACTTGATCTGTATAAACAGAAAAGTTCTAGGTCAAGTGATCTTGAATCATAAAAATGGAGTCACAATCTCTCAATCTGTTCTCCGAGTTGAGCCAGTTTATAAACACCAATCCCTTTGAATGAAGAGGTGGTCAGGTCGTCTTAAGGAAAGATCCCTCCAAAATACTGAAAATTTATGTTATTTATCATTCTCCCAGATTTTCCTCAAAAAGACCTGTAGTCTTCTCCCAGGGTAACTACACATCGGGGAGATGGCAATCATCAGACACTTGGAGGACTTCTGACTCTAAACAGACACTAATTTCAGAAGACCCGAAATGTTACTGCCATCCACTGGTCAGAGCAGGGGCTTAGCGAAGTCACATGATCAATGGAGTTTTACTCAGTTCCTCCTCACAATGAGTCCAGTGGGTCCTGAACCCGTTATATTATTTCCCCAGTTCCAGAATGCATAGTTGGAATAGTCGGGCTTAATAGCTGCTACAGTCCCCGCATTTGTTCCCTGACCTGTGCAGTGAGGGCTATTATATTGGGAATGGCCAGGTAGAAGTATTAGAAGTGCCTCTATGTAGCTTGCCAAAGGCTCCAAATATAATGGCAGTATAATTCGATAGAACCAGCTACTGATGAAATGCTGAAGATGAATTTTGGAAATACACTATCACTTTATTTTTGGATACAAGCTGAAAACAAGCTGGGTTTACTGAAATTACCTTAAAGGCTCCTTTTCCATCCCTTTACATATCTGTGAGATTGGTTTCTGTATAATGAGTGCCACTAAAATAAAGTGTAGAAACAGCACAGACAGTCATCACATCATGCATTGTTGCCAGTAAAATCTAGATTAGACGTGCTAATAAAGAAGAAACAAATTGTTTGCATTTATCACATCAGACTTCTTTAAATACTTATACACTGTATTTCCAAAGTGTGCATCTGTATTTATTACATGAAATCACAGTTCATTAATAAAGTTTTAGTTGGGATTGTAGAAAGACAAATGGTATAATAGCAATTCTCTGTATTAGTGACCTAGGCCCATTTTCTTAATAAGCAAGATATACTATTTTAAAAATTATTCTCTTTTTTATATATTATGTATGTTCTGATTATATTTTTAAAAATGGAAGATATTCCTGTTTCTAAAAATGAATGTGTTTGTATTTTGCATATCTTTGCTTTATTTCAGTTTTCTAGTCATTTTATCATATTTTCCAAAAGTAAAAAAAAAAAACAAAAAACAAAACAAAACAAAAAAACTGGTTCCTCACTATAAATAGTACTTTTAAGGTTTTTATTCTGGAATAATTATAGAATCACAAGAAATTGGAAAGCTAGTAGAGAAGTCCGATGTACCTTTCACCATATTTCTCCCAGAAAGTATCTTATATAACTATGATGCACTGTCAAAACCAGAAAATTGATGTTAATACAGTATGTGTACTTAGTTCTATCATGCTATCATGTATGTTAGTTGGTGCAACCACTACCACAATCAAAATACCACAGAGATCTGCCTAGTGCTACTTCTTGATCATCACACCCATCTTCCTCTACCTCCAACATCTCCTACCTCTTGGAACCCAAAAACGTGTTTTTCATTTTTATGATTTTTTTTTTCAAAACTGTAGTATAAACAGAATCATTCAGTACGTGATATTTCAATACTTTTTTTTTTCATTCATAATAATGCCCTTGAGATTTATTTAAGTACTAGGGATCAGAACTCCAACATATCTTTCGGAGGGGACACAATTCAACTTGTAATGTTAATCATGCATAATACTGGTCTATAATTTTCTTCTTCCATTTTTTTTTCTCAAGATCTTTCTCAGATTTTGATTTTAGTATGAGGCTGGACTCATACATTGAGCTGAATGCTATCTCTCTTCCTCTGTTTTCTGAAAAACTGTGTATAACTTTGATTTTATTTATTCAATGTTAGAATAAATCAGCAAACTAATTCAGTCTTACATTTTCTTCTCGATAACAAATTCAGTTTCCTTAATGAAGTACAGTACTATGAAGATTTCCTGCCTTCTTAATTTTGAGAAATAGTATTTTTAAAGAAATGTATCTTTTTGTTCCATGTTGTAAACTGTGTTGGCATATAGTTCTTAATAGTGTTTTTTTCCATTCTTTAATGTTTGTAGACTCTAACTCTTTATCATTAAAACTGGGTAACCCACTTTTTCAGCCATGCTACCATCTGAATAAAACTTTCCTCCTAAGAACTTGGTGCATCATTCATTATTTTATCATGTTTACTAAACACCCTATGAGTGCTGTATGGGTGCTGAAAAATGAAGGTCAAGATTGAAGCATTCTCTGCCTTCAAAGAATCTACAGTTCTGTGTAGAATGTGGTTATTAAGAAACAATTTAGAATCAAGCATGTTTGGCATAAAGAAAAGAAGACATTATGTTTAAAGAAATATCTCATGGATCTGAAGGTTAAATAGAATACAGTCAGGGAGGTGGGTGGAAGGGACAGACTGGGAGTTTGAGATTTGTAGATACTGACAGGTATATATAAAATATATAAATAAGTTTATACTTTATAGCACAGGAAAATATATTCAAGATCTTGTAGTAGCTCACAGTGAAAAAGAATATGAAAATGAATACACATATATTCATGTATGATTAAAGAATTGTGCTGTACACCAGAAATTGACACAACATTGTAAACTGATTATAACTCAATAAAAAAAAGAATACAGTCAAAAAGAAGGAAGCACCTTCTAACCAAAGAGAAAAGCTAAATAAAATTGCAGGAGCAAGAGATAATATTAAGTATATCCAAGAAGTTAAGTAAAAATGTAAAATATAGCTCTAACAGGTTTTGGGTGGAGACTTTCAGAGTTTTCTATATAAAGCATTGTGCCATCTGCAAATCTATTGCTTTTCTATCCAATAATAATAAACTATCAGAAAGAGAATGAAGAAAAAAACACAAAGACAAACAAAAATTCATTTAGAATTGCATCAAAAAGAATAAAAACCTAGGAATATACTTAACCAAGGGAATGAAAGACCGATATTCTGAAAACTGTAAATTATTGATTAAGGAAATTGAAGATGGTTCAAAGAAGTGGAAAGATATCATGTGCCCTTGGATGGGAAGAGTTAATATTGTTAAAATGCCCTTACTAACCAAAGAAGTCTACAGGTTGAATGTGATCCCTATCAAAATATCATGGCATTGTTCACAGAACTAGAACAAATAATCCTAAACTTCATATGGAACCACAGAAGACCTCAAATTGCCAAAGCATTCTTGAGAAAAGAAGAACAAAGCTGGAAGAATTACCTTCTTTTCAAACTATGCTACAAAGCTATAGTGATCAAAACAGCATGACACTGGCACAAAAAGAGACACATAGATCAATGAAACAGAATAAAGAGCCCAGAAATAAACCCACACACTTATGGTCAAATAATCTATGACAAGGAGGCAAGAATATAGAATGAAGAAAAGACAGTCTCTTCAATAAGTGGTGCTGGAAAACTGGACAGCTACATGTAAAAGAA